GTGCTAGTTAAGTGGTGCTATAGGTAAGTGCTAGGAAGGTGGTGCTATAGGTAAGTGCTAGGTAGGTGGTGCTAGGTAGGTGATGCTATAGGGAAGTGCTAGGTAGGTGGTGCTAGGTAGGTGATGCTATAGGGAAGTGCATGCAGGTAGGTGATGCTACAGGCAAGTGCTAGTTAAGTGGTGCTATAGGTAAGTGCTAGGAAGGTGGTGCTATAGGTAAGTGCTAGGTAGGTGGTGCTAGGTAGGTGATGCTATAGGGAAGTGCTAGGTAGGTGATGCTACAGGCAAGTGCTAGTTAAGTGGTGCTATAGGTCGGTGCTAGGTAGGTGGTGCTATAGGTAGGTGGTGCTAGGTAGGTGATGCTATTGGCAAGTGCTAGGTAGGTGATGCTACAGGCAAGTGCTAGTTAAGTGGTGCTAGGTAGGTGGTGCTAGGTAGGTGATGCTATTGGCAAGTGCTAGGTAGGTGATGCTATAGGGAAGTGCTAGGTAGGTGATACTACAGGCAAGTGCTAGTTAAGTGGTGCTATAGGTAAGTGCTAGGTAGGTGGTGCTATAGGTCGGTGCTAGGTAGGTTGTGCTATAGGTCGGTGCTAGGTAGGTGGTGCTATAGGTAGGTGCTAGGTAGGTGATGCTGAGCCAAAACAAACATATCACACAAAGGGATAGTCTCAAGAATAACAACAATAAGAGGGACCACACAGTAATACAATGTAAATGTCTTTTTTCTTTATACCGAGAGTTTAATTAGGAACAGGTATTAATTTTTGTTGTTGTTGACTCGACGGCTGATGCTACTGTTAAGAGCAGCTTGTGCAAGATGAGAGAGCTTAACCCCAGGCGCTGAACTCTTACCTTCCTCTCTCAAGGTAACCTAATCATCAGTGTCGACTTCTGTCTTCTTTATAGTGAGGGGGAAGCGGGGAGGGGGGGCAGTTGTCGTAAATCATAACATTTAACGATATATCTCTATGTATGATCTATTTATATCGAGTTAAGCGGAATTAATACACTTAGTTTTGCCAGAATTTTGCGGTTACAGACAGGACATTATCAGTAATATTGACATGGCTAAGCGTTTTTTGTGGTGCTGGCTTCTAACAAGGCATGTAAGATTTTTTCTCCAAGATACTAAAAGTTTTAGCTTGTGATTCTGCCCTTGATAATTAATTTGTATCCTGTGTCCTGACCATAGCTGATGGTTGGTTGAGAGGCAAGGCCAGTGGTTGTCTTGTGTTCGAGAGAGATCGTCTCCCTTCCAGGAATTCCCTTAACCCCCCCCCCCCTACCCTTTGTTACAACACGGAGGTAGGACAGGTGTGGAGGAAGAGAACCTTGTAGGATACATGAGCTTATAATGGACAACATCACTTAACACTATGTAAACGGAGTACAGTATGCTCTTGCTTTATTACGCTCATGTAATACATACATACATACATACATACATATATATATATATATATATATATATATATATATATATATATATATATATATATATATATATATATATATATATATATATATGTATATGAGTGATTGTCAGACCAAACCTTACAGCCCAGAATTATGTCACATATAACAGCAAGTACACCACAGACCTCGTGGTACCACCACATTCCGGGTTGACACACCTCAGGTCGACCCAAGGGACTTGACCTCGCCCGCTAATGACGTGAGCCGGTGACCTACAACCGCACCTAGCCAAGACACCTGGCCAGGACCACACCTGCACACAACTATTCAGATCAAACCAGTTTAGTGTTAATTGTTAGAGGTCAAAAGCCGGCTGGGCCGACCCCATATAAAGGCCCTACAGTCCCGTCCACGGGCATTCCTATTCCATTACGATTATCATTCTGATCCTGGTCATACTGATTCTCATTCTGGTTGCTGTCATCTCTCTCCCGTTCGGGTCGTCACTCGGTTCACTAAGCAGAGTCACGCACGTCCCCTCCCCAGGTCGGGAGGGAGACCTCCCGACCAGACCACGGCATCGCCAGCTAAGCAGACTCTCCCATAGGAGGCAGCCCAGCCAGCACTCACTGGGCCTACGTCAGGGTACACGTGAGTCTTGTCAGAACGTCCTAGGTACCACCCATGGCCAGCCGGACGTCAACCACAGTACATACGAGCAGAGAAGAACCAGCATGATGAAAGCAGCGTGATGAATGCAGCGTGATGAAGGCAGCACGAAACCCACCACACACCACGCCACTTCTTTCAAGTCCTCCCTTGGTCTAGGATTAAGGAGATTTTATATTTTTCTACTTTAAGAAGTTAAGGAGTGTGGAATGGATCGCCACACAACGAACCCTGGTGAGCCCAGCCAGGGAGGGATTCACCACTGTGGAAGGTGTAAGACAGGACGGTCTTTGGTCTCGCCGACACTCATGTACGGAGGGCGAGCCCTGGTCCGCGGAACCTGCCTTACAGTCATCTAAGGAGACGACAGCCCAAGCAGTGGACCGGCTTTCATCCCGGCCGGAAGGGGCCGACGGCAGATGAACAGAAAATCGTCTGGAATATGTTGAAAATGATGATGTTGCAGAGAAGAAATACAGATGGAGCAGAAAAATTCATCTGGAATATGAAAATGAAGATGTATAAAGAAACGCAGATGAGCAGAAAAATTCGTCTGGAATATGAAAATGATGATGTACTAAGAAAAAAGGAAGATGGAACAGAAAATTCATCTAGAAGATGTTGAAAATGAGGCTCTAAACGTAGAGGAAGAACGCAGATGGGACAGAAAACTCGTCTGGAATAGTATAGAAACCAGGAGGAAGTGAGAAGAAGTCAGAAGGTGTGGAGAAACGACCTACAAGGTGCGGTATGTGAAGAAAGAAGACAGAAGATGTGCTATGTGAAGAAAGAAGACAGAAGATGTGCTGTCCTGACATCACAAGAAAGTCGATGATGAAGGACCAACCGACTACAGCTGCTGAGCTGCCGCCATCCCCTGTTTTTCAGATACCAGCTGGATGGAAGACGTGAGCTATGCCGGACCCAACTAATGTACTGATGTTGTTGATGTATAATAAAAAGATATCAATACCCTAATATGTGAAGTAGGAACATTTTTTGTGTATTTTGAAGTATTTTCTCTGATTTTGTTGATGTTTACTACAAAGAATGTCTTTTTTTAGTCTCACTTTTTTCTATGAGTTCATTTGATCAATGTCTTGGACTATGAAACACGATGTTGTAGCTATATTACTGACTGAGATGAATTATTATTTTGACATGGGCTGATAAGGAAATGTAACACCTGTTGTTGTTTGTAGAATGTGATTTGCAAGGTTGCCTCGGACACTATGCTACATATGAAGGATTTGTTCATTCTATGTTCACTTGCTATGTTTCCTTTTTCTCCTGGCATAGAAGCTTTGATCTTGGCGGGAGGTATAGTGAGCTTTGTCAGATCAAACTAGCGCCAGTAGAAAAACATACACCTATGAGATTGTTGTTTGTAAATGTGAGACTATGTTATCGCCCCAGGGATTATCTCTGACACCACACGTGATGTTGCTGTCTATATGTGGCATCAGTCTCTGTGATGAAGCTTCGGTCTTGGCGGGAGGTGTAATGAGTGATTGTCAGACCAAAGCTTACAGCCCAGAATTATGTCACATATAACAACAAGTACACCACAGACCTCGTGGTACCACCACATTCCGGGTTGACACACCTCAGGTCGACCCAAGGGACTTGACCTCGCCCGCTAATGACGTGAGCCGGTGACCTACAACCGCACCTAGCCAAGACACCTGGCCAGGACCACACCTGCACACAACTATTCAGATCAAACCAGTTTAGTGTTAATTGTTAGAGGTCAAAAGCCGGCTGGGCCGACCCCATATAAAGGCCCTACAGTCCCGTCCACGGGCATTCCTATTCCATTACGATTATCATTCTGATCCTGGTCATACTGATTCTCATTCTGGTTGCTGTCATCTCTCTCCCGTTCGGGTCGTCACTCGGTTCACTAAGCGGAGTCACGCACGTCCCCTCCCCAGGTCGGGAGGGAGACCTCCCGACCAGACCACGGCATCGCCAGCTAAGCAGACTCTCCCATAGGAGGCAGCCCAGCCAGCACTCACTGGGCCTACGTCAGGGTACACGTGAGTCTTGTCAGAACGTCCTAGGGTGAGTTACCTACTGTGGGAAGTGTATTCATTCAGGTGTGTCCGATAGTCAGTGTCAAGTAACGTAAAGCATAATGTGTTAGTACCCCGATATAATAGTGATATTAATGTGTCCATGTCATTGAGTGAAGTAATAAATAGTTGTATCAAGAGGTGTTTAACAAGTTGTCCCTTTAAGAAGTGATATATGTGTATTGACATACGAGATAAGATAAGCGTAGTGACGCTGTGCAAATAACATCCAGGCCACGCTACCAAGTTTCCTACCTTTACATTTCTACTCTCTATACTTCCTACCTATGTATGTAATTCTCTTCTTGTGAGATTTGTCTCATTACACTGATAACCACAAGGAAAGAAGAAACCACGAAGTTCTCAAGCGCTTTCGTGTAATTCACATCTTCAGGGGTGAGTACAGATCACGCACACCTACAGTGATTTACTTGCATATGTATGTATGAATATATATGTATCCTACAAGGTTCTCTTCCTCCACACCTGTCCTACCTCCGTGTTGTAACATTCCTGGAAGGGAGACGATCTCTCTCGACCACAAGACAACCACTGGCCTTGCCTCTCAACCAACTATCAACTATGGTCAGGACACAAGATACAAATTAATTATCAAGGGCAGAATCACAAGCTAAAACTATATATATATATATATATATATATATATATATATATATATATATATATATATATATATATATATATATATATATATATATATATATACTGTGTATAGATACGTATGTGTGTGCGTGTGTCACCCATGCTAGAGAAAATGGTATAACTGTAATGGTTTCTTGCAATAACGACCAAGACTACATCTACTCTTCTTTTGCAGTGTTGGCAGCGTTTTGCCTGCTGGTGGAGGCTGGCCTGGCCACAACTGCTCGTCCCACACATAGACGTCCTTACTACAGGAGGACTTCAATCGGCCGCCAACGAGCAGCTCACCCGCGAGCACGAGTCACCGTCGCCCCTGCCCAGACCACCCTCAGCCCTCAACTGAAGCCCGGCCATAAGATCATCACTGAACTTCCTAAGCCTGAACCAGGGTTCTATCTCAACCAGCAGTTCCAGTCCGAGAAAGTAGCCAGAACGAGCAATACTCCTGGAGAAGTTTCACCGAGGGTGTTTGAGTCAAACTTGGGATCTTTGAAGTTATACGAATTTCCTAAACCCCGGCCAGGTTATTACCTAAACAAACAGTTCCAGAATATTAACACTTTGAAGGAGAAAGTTAAGAAGTCTCCAAGAAAAGTTGTAGACAGCAACGGGAAGTACTGGACCGTGGGTGAGCTTCCCAAACCTAAAGCTGAATATTATTTGAACCGTCAATTCCAGACGAAGCGAGTGTTCCCTCTAAAGGACTCGTCATATAATGCTGACAGCAACGTGGAAACATTGGAAATTTTTTTGGTTAAGAAGCATACCGAAGGACCTACAATACGTGTTCCAGCTACCAGTCCTCCAGTCCTTACACAGTCCCCAGTCGTCACCTTTCGCCAGGCTACTCGAGGCAAGCCCACAGGAGAGGTCAACTTTTATACTGTATTTGGCCAAGAAAATTCCCGTAACGTTAACATTAGACAGCAGCAACCCTCTGTACAGCCTCGCCATCGTCCTCAGCAAGTTGCACAACGAGTGACTGCATCCTCAAGCATTAGATCTAGTTTTGGGTCACCATCTACACAAGCAATTGAGATGCCTGAAGTGAGAACTGGATTTGGACCTCCATCGACTATCACTCAACCACAACAGGAAAGTACTGCTAGGCCAGACACCAGCACCAACAAGAGAACTTTCATCTTGACAGCACAGCAGCCGACGCGTCAGGGACAACCGAGGAGAGAGCAGGAGCAAACCGTACAGACAGAACAGCTGCAGCCAGGGTTCAGCTGTCAAGGCCAAGAGTATGGTTATTATGCCGACGTGGAGAGCGACTGCCAAGGCTACCACATTTGTAACCCTGTCAACTTCGGCGGTGGCCTCATCCAGTACTATAAATACAGGTAAAACTGCAAAGGCTTTTAGTCTTATTTATTGTATAGTACTTCAATTGGTTTCATATCAGAGATGGTCCATACTTCGACATATTTATTATAAGGTGTTAGACAGTGGGTTTTTGTTGTGGTAATTCCTTAGTTTACACGCTTCACTTTAAGAACAATACCAGTCCACTTCATCAGTTCAGCTCATGGTTTAGAGCATTTGGAGTAGACGCGTGTGAGTGGCCTGATGAACCCACCTTCTGTACTTTACAAGCAGTAATAAAACACGACCTGATCTTACATTTCTAACAATCAAATCACTTAGATTTAAACTTTCTTAAGACAATTTTGACACTTGCAAGAGTTGGTGTTTAAACTTTTGTTGTATATGAATAAATTAATCAGATATTTCTAAATTCCAATGGGCTCAATATTATATTTCGTATCTCATATTTGACATCTGTAAATATAAATGCACAAAATAACATCTTCCGTATTATGTAATCCTAACGTGATTTAATATGTCGCCATTCATTTGTTTATAATTCTGACATTTATACATTGTCTCTCAACGTGTTATGGAAACTTTTAACGTTTATACTCGTGATCCTTAAATTTTAGATATTCACCCCTCGGATATTTATACATTTTACATAGACATTTTGCACTCTTGCAGGTAGATCAAAGGGTCGAAGTGATGGAGTGACTAACAAGCAACAAAAAAGCATCGGCTGTCTATATTGGCTGTCATCAATGGCTAATCTTTGTCGAATTTCCCTCCTGTTTAGCATCGTATTTATACCCACACTGTCTAGGTGCATCTTTTGTATACCTGCATTGTCTATAAACACGGTGAACTGTACACTGCATTGTCTATAAACATACTAAACTGCACACTGCATTGTCTATAAACATGCTGAACTGTACACTGCTGAATCAATTGTAAACTTGCATGGCGATTTCACTGAATATCCATCTTATCTTTCAGCTTCGAGTGTAGCCCTGGCATGAAGTGGGTCCAGCACCAACAAGCCTGTATCTCATCTACCGACGCTCCTCCCTGCCAGTAAGGTCACAGTTCCTCCACTACCCCTGTAATTGTCTGTCGCAACACCGCACTCAAGACTGTCACACCACTGCCCCCCAAAACTGTCGCACCACTGCCCCTAAAACTGTCACATCACTGCCCCCCAAAACTGTCACATCACTGCCCCTAAAACTGTCGCACCACTGACCTCAAGACTATCGACTGTCGCACCACTGCCCCCAAGACTGTCACACCACTGCCCCCAAGACTATCGCACCACTGCCCGCTGAATCCGTCCATCTTAAACTAGTTCCCACTTTTCACTGTTTATATAGAAAACAGATCCACTACAGGCAAACACCGGAAAGGCTAGTTTCTTCAATGTTTCCAAACACTTAAATGCGCATGTGTAACTTTTTGTAAATGTCTAGGCTATCAAGTACAGTTTTAAATGTATATTACGAGTAGAATGTTGGTGATGATAATTTTTTTTTTCATCTCTCTCTTTCTCTTATGTTTACCATCAAAAGAACAAATTACCTTCATGACCTTTATATATCATGTAACAGAATAACACAAATTTCTTATATCTGAAATCATACAAAATAAAACTAATATAAAAAAGTTTGAAGACAGTTTATTGACCTATAAAAAAATGATGGAAGTAGCAATAAGCAGAGCTGAATGAAAGGGCCATGGATAGAAATTGGGTTCATAAGATCAACAGAGAGATTATTCATCGTAAATATACCTTTTCCAGGGACAAGTTAAAGGCCATTTGTTAATATCTTATTGTACATATCTGGAGTTCGTGGATGGCAACCCTACAGACTTGCACAGCACTGAAATATGGCAAGACGGCTAGATACATTTAAGAGCCTGTATGTATGTATCCAATAAGTGTCAGCAGTCCGTGATGACAGAACAAGTGGTGAAAAGGATAAAGTAAACGAATTAGAAGCAATCTAGCCTGTCTTCATAAAAGAGAGGTGTGAGTACAAGTGTGATATGTTAAGATAAGTAGGCTACCTCTAAAATCTGAGCACGCATCAGCAACTTGCTGGCATTACCGTGCCGATATGTCAGGCTGAATTTACCACCTTTGAAATGCTTATTATTATTATTATTATTATTATTATTATTATTATTATTATTATTATTATTATCATTATTATTATCATTATTATTATTATTATTATTATTATTATTATTATTATTATCTCTCCTTATAATAAAATGAAAATAACTAATAAAAAGTGGTCAATAAATGTGTTAAAATTGGGGCAATGAAAATTTAAACATTGGCCTCATTAAGTTGTGTAATCACTGGCATACACTGTACACGCAGTAAGAAAAACTCTATATAAGGTGGCACTACACTTTTAAAAGACCCTTTTTGAGACGGACTAGCTATTTATTTATACTGTACTGGAGAGGCCCTTCAGTAGCTTCATATGAGTTCAACTAGTTTACAAATTCGAATACAGTAGCTTCTTCGTGATTCAGATCTAAGAAAATATTCATAACAATATGGTGAATAAACCATGATATTAAGTGGCAAAGTATATTCACGCCAATAACGAGAAACAACGAATTAAGAAATGAAGTACAGACCCCTAGCATATCTAAAATTTCCTTATGTGCTCGCGGTGGCCAAGCAGCTGATACTCACCAGCCAAGGTATAAAGATATACTGTACTGTACTTTATACATTGCCATCTGCTAGCCTCCAGTTACCGGCTTGCCTCTCGTCACCTGCTACCCCCATCCCCCGTCAGCACAAGGACGTCGTTCAACATCAAAAGGTGAATACCGCCCATCACCAACCCTGATAGGTGGGCAACAGCAGTCCCTCCACTTGCCACCCATCACCAGTCAGCAGGACCGTCTAAGGGACAACCTAGGCGTCTCTGTGTTTATTGTACAGAAGAAATGAATAGCCGGAGCCATACTATAAGGTGTAACTTGTGTGTAGAATGGGTGCATGACAGATGCATAGACTTTTTAACAAAAGAGGAATATGACACTATGTTATCCAGTGGCTCACTTCCCGACTGTGTTTAAGATATGACTAAATTCTCAACAGTCTATACCACGATATAGTACCATCAAACATACGATTTTTAGTGTTTCAGACTTAGGGAGTTGCATCTTGTGCATATGAACTCCTAGTTCATTGCTGCCAAAGATGTCAGAAATAGGAACTCAAAATTCTACTTTATAAAACTAGGACCGCCGTATTCTCCATCTCGAAGTAGTGGTTAGATGACACAGTCACATATGAGGAAGTAAAAACAGAGGGATAGGATGAATGTGCAACGTCTTAACAGAAACACGGTGACAGGACAAATGTGGGAAGGGTGTAGTAATTCAGTGACTCTACTAAACACGGCAGTTTTTTGCGGGTACTTTGGTTTCCTACTGCACTAAAAATGGACTAAATGAAGGTCATAAAAAGAGTAACAAGGAACAGACCAATCGGCCTAACGGTTAGTAAACGGATTGCTGATAAGTGGTGCAATAATAATTAACACTTGTATAACTTTGTAGCCAAGTTGGCGGTGGTATACTTAGCTAGTTTTTGTAATAAATGGTGGGAAATATTGGGATTGGCGGGTTGTGGGCTTTTGGGCTACGTATTTTAATTTCAGCTGGGCTACCATTGGGGTGGTTCTTGGTGAAGGTCTAATACAAAAAAAAAACATACTCGGTAACATAAAATTCTACTGGTGTGATACTGTTCGTTGTGTGGACATTGACACTGGAGGGCACTAGTGATGAGTTAGGCGAGGGTCTTGAGGCCACGTAAGTATAATACCTGAGGTAAAGGAGAATGAATTTTCACCAGACTAATAGAAGGATTTTCCCCAAGTCAGCAATAATTTTCCCAAACAAATATAATATTTTTCCAAAACTAAATATTTTTTTCCAAACTAACATCATAATTTACCAACCTAACACAAGGATTTATCAAGCTAACAACAGTTAGGTTAAATTACTTGATGTGAATATAAGTAAGGTTACGTTAGGTTAGGTTATGTCAGGTTAAATTAGGTTAGGTTAGTGTAATCATTATATAGGTGAAATAAGCTGAGGTGTCTAATTTTAAGGTAGCCCAATCTTTTCTTGTTATATGGAATCGAGTGAAGGGGCAGTTACTGGTTCACTGAGTCACATCGTTTAGCAATTACTTGTATTGGATTGCCTCAGCTAACTTCGTCCCAACATCGGCAAGCTCAGCCTACAGTGCTACAGTGTACAGTCCCCTTCACTTGTACGTTCACAAGAGCTCATCAGGTTTTGCGCAGTGTGGAAGCCCTGTGTTTGTTTTCATGCGACAGAAGGAAACTCGCAATAGTAAACATAATAAGGAATCAAATTAAAACAATATTAAAACAAATACCTCGAAGATAATGATTTGTGGATTGTTTATATGACGAGCCCCTGTAAACGTAGTAGTGAAGGGGACTGTACATCAGGGGTACAGGGAACGAGGAGCTTTTCCAAGTAGTTTTTCGAAAATGTGGCAATAACGGACACGACTATGATGTGCTTTACCTTGACATTAATAAAGCCTTGGTTAGAGTCCCCATAGACACATGGCATTCTAGAGAGTAATTTTATATTAGTTTAGGTAAGGTTAGGTTAGGTTAGGTTAGTTAAGTGACAGGAAACAGAGGGACGTCAGCATTAATGGCAAAAAATCGGAGTGTGGTAACGTAACAGGTGGCGTACCTGGATCATTAGTATTAATTTGTACCCGACGGTGCAGATATCGTTCGCCTTATTTACACCCTAAATCCAACCTAACCTAACCCAACCCACTATTGAGAGGAGACTGAATAGAAAGCCGATTATTTACCCTAAAAATGCCATAAAGTTCAACTATCAAATATTCACAAACATTAGATACTCACAGTGATCGTTGGAAAATAACCCAAGTGTACTGTACCTACATTACGGTCGCGTAAACACCTCTGTTATTATATCTTCATTAACGACAAAAATATATGCGTAGATAACATTAATTAAATTTATTGATAACACGACAACAGGGTTTATAATTCGACCTGACAAATTTATAGCATGGACAGATAAATAACAAGACACAATTTAATGAGGAAAATGTAAAAGTTCTAAGGCTCGGAATAGTAACAAGGAAACCAGCTATCACCTGAACAAAGTAGATATAGATAGGAACCTAAAACCTAGATAGCAATACATTTATGCACAGCATAACATATACGGCTAACAAAGTACGATAGGGTTCATATCTAGGAGCGTTATTAACGGGAGATGCACTGTTATTTTACAACTAGCATTACTAAAATACATTTGGGCCATGCGGTTCATCTTAGTTACCGTATAATAAAGATTGAAAATAATTATCTAAAGACCAGTCTGAAAAAGCTGAATAAGTTTATCCCGGGCATTAGGAACCTTGAATGTAGAGGCAGATTAAGAAAACTGAATTTAAATTCTCTTGAGAGACGTATAGTGAGGGCGACACGACTGAAGTATACAAATGGAAGATGGGGTTAAATAAAGGTGATATAACTACGGTACTTCGAACCGTCAAATTAAGAGCGAACACATAACGATGATTTTGATTTAAAGAAATACCTGTATATAATTAAGGAATTATATAAACATTGGTTAAGATACTGAGTTGTGGATGAGTGGAATAAATCACTCGTCACTACCATGAGTTCTAACTTGTTGAGAAATTTCATATATTAATTAGACAGATATAGGAGTGTTAAGGATTGGGTGTAAGAAGGCCTGCTGCAGTTTTTCATTCTTCTGTTATGTAACCACCTACCGGGGGACGGGAATGTTACTGAACTGAAATACACATAGCGTTTAGAAAAGACATAACCTGTGTTTGTCTTAAATCATTATGTTCTTTATCTCGTTACCCCAAAAGCCTCGAGGATCAACAGGCATCACAACACTGCCATCCTGACCTGTGCCGCTTATGATTGTTCCACAGGGTCTAAAGGCTCTCATGACACTTGCAGGGTAATTGATACCACATTGACCAGGGCACACAGATAGGTCAGTTAATTAATACCACACTGGCCAGGACACACAGGTAGGTCTGTTAATTAATACCACAATGACCAGGACACACAGGTAGGTCTGTTAATTAATACCACACTGACCAGGACACACAGGTAGGTCAGTTTATACCACACTGACCCGCTACACGGACAAGACTTATTTACACTAAAAAGAATAAATATGTTTGACTGAGTTTTTCATTCCCCCCTTTTTATAGATTCCTTTTCGGTAATAACGTAATTCTTGTAGTTTCTTTTGGCTTATTTGGCAGTACAGTATATTAAAATCCCACGCCACCAAAGTAGACTAAAATCAACCTCCTACCCACAAAGAGATCCACCAAACATAACTAAACCTAACCTAACCTACCCACATGCTGTAGAGCTCCACAATTCCCTAGCTTCAGAGACACTATGATGATGAAGAGTTTCTGAATTGGATAAAGATATAAAAAAAAAATTGGTTAGGTTAGGTTGTAAGGGGGTTCTTTTTTATACTTCATACTTATTCTATTTATTCTTCAATACTTATTCCTTCTGTTCAGTCTTGGAGATTTTGAGTTT